AAGGATGAATGTGTAATGTTGCATCTTTCTCCCTGCAGGTTATTGAGAAGCAACACCGAATGATGGAACAGCTTGGATCTCAAATTCAGGTGTTTCTCTTGTAAAATGACACAAAATATTACAGATTGTAGTAGTTTGAATATTATATTAACCTTTCTTGGGGCTGCCTGTCTAGGCTTTAGAGGAGCAGATCTCTCAAGAGGAAAGCAGCTCTCAGGCCCTAAGAGAGGAGGTGCTTGCCAAAGATCAGAACGTCTTAGAGCTCCACACAGCCATGAAGGAGGTGAGAAACTGATAGAAAATAGAGAAAACCATTTATATATGCACCTTTAGGTAACTCTGAAAACCAGAATAACATTAAAAGGTTTTAATTTTTTTTTCTCGCATTTCTAAAATGGGGAAACTCATTCAGCTATAGCTAGCTTCCAGTTCGTAAAAAATTCTATTTCAACATTTAGAAAATTATTATATGAAAAAAATTGTTCAGTATTAAAAAATCATGCTGTCCCGTCCTAATCTTCTAATTAACTTGAAACACCTAGAGATGTTTATCTGGGTCAGTCTGAGATAGAATCATATCATCCAGAGGAGTATCATTGAGAATAACCTAATTGGACAGTATATAGTGCGGTTAAAAAGGTACACTAGCAAGAGGGATAACCCCAGTCTTTAGATCGCTGTGAATTAAAATATTTTTAAGCATTTAGGGAGCTTCTCAAGGAGTGCGGGAATATTAGGAGAAACAGAACTGATCCATAGCTCGATAATAAAAGCCCTCTCTCAGAGAAAATATTCAAATATTTTAAACATATTAAATTTTTTAAATGCCTCTCAAACCATGGTGCCAGGCGAATGGGGGCAGGGGAAGGATCTAATTTTTATTCATATATATATATATATATATATATATATATTATATATAATATGAGAGAGAGAGAGAGAGAGAGAGAGAGAGAGAGATATGAGAGAGAGAGAGAGATAGATATGAGAGAGAGAGAATGATTCAGGATTTCCCCTCTATATTTTATTGCCTCAATCTACTCTGCATGCAGCTAATTTGGTCAAATACAGTATTATAAAGCACATGCATTACAAGGCTGATTCAAGCTGTGTGATAATCAGTTGATTATCAGAGCATCACTTTGTCTAGATAAAACAAAAAAAATGATATAGTTTAAAGCTGTAATAATGTATATCTTTCAGCTTTAAGTATGTGTTATCCATTAGCTGTATGAAAACGGAGCAGGTCTCATCTGCCTGAATGCAAGGCTATCAGGATACCTGTGAGACAGCACTTGGGGAGCAGTTGCAGTGAGACGGTAATGGTAGAACGATTGCTGCTTTCACATGAAGTCACTAAACTCGCCAACAACTCAGAGGAAAATCATTAGATTTCTCTATGAACACTTTTGTGAAGAAAGAAAAAGTTGGTGGAGATGTCTGAAAAGTCCCCAGAAATAGCAACAGTGACTAAGTTGGCAAAACTGGACAGTTGTCTCCAGTTTTCCTCCTATTGAAAGCAGTGCAGCTCATTGTAGCCACCAGTAAGTTTCATGCATCAGCCAGCTTTACAACAAGACTTCAAGTAGTTAGAAACATTAGTTTTTACAGTATATTGTACATTTTGAATTTAAAATCCGATTAGAATAAGTGCACAAATACGCGGTATGCTCTGCCTCATGCTTTACTGTGTGTGAAAATATATTTTTATTCATTGTGTAGGAGGGGCAGCTTTTATTTTGCTGTGGCTGTGCAGAAACAGTGTTACCATGACCTATAGGATCTATGAAAAATATTTAAAAAAAATTTAATTTCCTTCTATATGGAGGTAACCCTACAGTGTGTGTGTGTGTGTGTGTGTGTGTGTGGAAGTATGTTAGTATCCGTCTTAAGTCTGTTTTGTAGAAAATGTAGATTCTAACTTGAGATGCTGATATTTCCAAATCCATTGTATGCTGTGATAATTGTTTAAAGCTTATTTGAAGCACTTTGCTGTAAAACGTTCAGGTTTTTTTTTATGTTACCAGTTAGTCTCGTTGTGTGGGAACAATGTATGAACCACATGAACGCCACAGCATGTAGAAAAAAATGTTTCTTTTTAAATTGCATTTTGATTTGAGTTATTCCAGTCCTCTTCTGTCAGTTGTTGTGTTGTTAACACTGAAGAGTGTTACTGTGGCCTTGTAGTTTTTAGGTTTTGTGATTAATGGCTGCGTACAACTTTTTATTTCCAGTTGTCTTCCGGTCAGACTAAAGATCAGCTAATTTCTAAATTCTTTGTATCTCTTGATAGATGCTGACCTCTCTATCCCCGTCTCTTTATTTCTGTAGCTGTCAGCCCAAAACCAGGAACTGCTGGAGCAGAATCTGACGCTGCAGGAGCAGATGAGTGACCCAGAACAGAGGAACTCTAACCAGGCCTCCTCCGGCCTCCAGCCAGCAGGGGCCCATCTCACACAACGGTTGCATGTGGAGATCGCCTCATGTCTCAGCGACCTGCGCTCCCTTTGCAGCATTCTGACCCAGCGGGCCCGGGGACAAGACCCCAACCTCTCTCTGCTGCTTGGTCTCACTTGTAAGCTTTTTACACCACAATTCTGTCATTCCTTTAGAACTTTCAGTGTGGAAGTGTTTTAAGGTGAGTGATTGATGTTTTTTTTTTGTTTTTTTTTCCCAGCTCCACCAACAGTTTCAGAGCAGGACGAGGACTGGATGGAACCAGACGTGTTACAGAAGAAGCTGGTGGAAGCCCAACAGCTCCGCCGGGATGTTGAGGAACTGCGTAATGTGATTCTGGATCGTTACGCGCAGGACATGGGGGAAAACTGCATAACACAATAACAGTGACTTCTCCCTAATGGAGGGAAGTCATTTTGTTTCATCTCTGGCATCTCAAAGGCTTGTTGCCTGGTTACTGAATGTTTGAATAAAGCTTGTGTTTTCCTTTCTCTAAGGACAAACCAAAACGGTTTAAGTTTCTCTCACCCGACTGAACATGGAGCCCCAAGACTCTGTAGCTCTGATCCATCCCCTCTCCACAGTTTGTTCATTTCAGTCCAAGGGCTAATGGGGAATAACTTACCTCTACTACTTGATCCTGTAAACATTGTGTCTGCGTGTGTTTGAGTTTGACATTGTATTATCGGTTACCAAATAGTCTTATTCTTTGTTCTACTCGAGTATATAGCGCTTTTAGAAGTCCCACAAGTCTAATTTATTTCAATCTTCATTTCCCTGTTTTGGGGGAATTACTACTTTTTGTTTTTAGTGGTTGACAATCAACTGGACATATTTTTAACTTGTGTTTTTAACTGAATTAACAAAGAATTGTTACCAACTCATCATTTTTTTCTAACGGTGAACACTGTAATGATGGATTGTGCTGTGATGTATACGATGAAACAACTTCAAGGGTTTCAAACCAAATCAGCTTCTCACACCAACAGGCCTACAGCAGTTTTCTAACCAAAGAGACTCCCATGTCGGTGAACTCACCTGTCTGCGCTCCTTCTGATGTACACCAGTGTGTGCCTTTGTCCTGTTTGTGACTACAATGCAAGGGTTGTTTGCAGCTGAGGTCTTCCAGTTGGACCTTCTTCTCAGAGTACCAACCAGTAGGATAACTGATACATTCCCTGACTCTGAATGTAGAAAACAGTGGGACACTCTGACTCTTTCTTCATTATTACTATATGACATAAAAGCTGTTAGTTTGGACAAGCTTGTAGGATTTGCTCTGTTTATGACTGACTTGCATTTTTACAGAATAGTTGACTGATAAATGACTAAGGAACAGTATTAATCCTCTGTATTATTTATTATTTTTGCTTTTGATAACTGTGTGAATGATGTTTGGGTCTGCCTAATCTGTTCATGTAATATGTTCATGTTTGAAAGAACTTGTAAAGGTCCCATGGAGTGTCGGTGTTCTGGTCACTTGTAATAGGATGTAGACATGGGAGCAGGTTCTCCTACCAGTTCTTTGTAATCGTTAGAAGGGATGACCGGATCAACCCCCAAATCACGTTACGTAACCGGTAAGCCATTTAGGAATAACTCGACACTTTACAGGAGGTGAAAGGGATTTTTAGAAATACAAATATGCAACAAAAAAAAAAGATTTCAACCAGGGACACTGAAGCCATACTTCATTTTTAACGGGACCTTAAAACTTCACTAGCACATGGTTTCACTTTGAAACATCAGGCTCTGCATGCCTTAACATCTCAATTTTTTTGCAAAAGGGAAAAAGATGTCTATTTTCATACCGTTGATGTTTGTAATTGGAAATTGTAGAAATAAAGATTTTTTTTGACATTGTTTTTCAGTGAATTTGTTGTAGAGTGTGTTTTGTTTTCTTGTACAGGTAGCTCACCCACTGACTTTCTTCAGAAGGTCCTGAGTAGCGGATGCTCCTCAGCTCAGTGTGCCCTCGTAGTGACCTAACCGAACATTGATGTTGCCCATAGTGCTTCAATTAAAGTTTGAAATTATACCTTCCATCAGTTTACTTGAGACAGCTTGGTTCAAGGGTTTAAGCAGTCGTATTATATAACTGAACACTTAATCTGCTTTGAGTGTTGAGCGGAGGAGACTAGTCTAAAAATAAACACCTATGTTTACCAGCTACCCTGTCAGATCTTTATAATGCAGGAACATTTCTGAGCTGTAAAATGTAGAAAATCCAATCTTGAATTGATGGGTTTATTTAGCATGGGGTAAATTATGTTTTTTTTAAGCAAGCAGTGTTAACTGTCACTGATAACTGTGCTGTAATCACTTCGTACCATGTGAATCTGATCATTCCTCATTGCACAGCCTCTTTAGATTATCTAGAGCCTTGGATCTTGGATCCTCTGCTGTCTTCTCAGCTCACAACAGTTTTTCTGTAGGATTTACATTTAAGACTGACATATTACTTTGGGATCTTATGAGATGTTCTAATGTAGATTTCATCAGATGTTAATCCTATGGAAAGACCAAGTGATAACATTTTTCAATTTGAATGGCAAGGCCTTGAGATTTTTATTTCAAATCCCATATTAGAAAATGTCTCAGTGCTGTGATGAATTGTAACTAGGCTCCAAACCTTTGGAAAGAAACCAGCCCCACAGCATCACAGATCCTCCATATTTAGAACAGGGCATCAGGTGCTTCTAAGATGCAAAAGCTTGGCCCCTGTAGACACATGTTATTGTAGGACAGTAAAGTTTTTAACATAAAAAAAAAACATCTTTGTATGTACCGTATATGTATTTTAATGATCGTCTGTGAGACTTGATGGTCCAGTTCTCTGGCACAAGGCGCTGAAGATCATTTTATTACCACTATTGCCTGTATTCTAGCTGTGTGTTATGGTAAGATGAATCCAGGTACTCATTCAGCTGATTGACCAGCAGATAATGGAAGTATAGCCCAAGGAAACAGAAAATCAGGAATTATTAATGAAAGGTTCCAAGAAGGTTCACAAGGCCAACACAAATATATCACATCTATGACTTTGGGTTGATAATACTTTAGGCTGTTACCACAAGAGTTCATGGCACTTTTTCATATATTCTTACCCATCATCAGCATTTATATTAAAACATTGTCTAATATAACATTTATTGTTTCAAATGTTTTTAGGATCCAGAAAATCAAAGAGAAGCTCAAACTCTTTAGTGTTTACTGCTTGCTTTGTTCCCTGCGACGCAGCAGCAGAGTCGCATTTGATGAAAGTCCACATGACTGTAGTGTGCAGCCATCATCGCTGAAGCTGCAGGGTGGATATGTACTGATGATGTCATAATCAGGCTGACCTGCTCCCCTGTAGTGCAGAGAAAACCCAAAAAGCCACATGGTAAGGAGAGTTAAAGCCCTTACAAACGTCAGGTGTCGGCATACAAGGAGGCTTTTTGTACCTGTGAATGTCCAGATAGGCTCGCAGCTGGCTTACTGTTTCTGAGGGGCTCATTTTCATGACATAGATGTGATTCCCATCCTCTGATTTCAACTTTAGGGTGATGAGATCTTGGACAGTTTTTTCACAGTTTTTCATCTGTGTTCTGTGGAAAAGACAGAGGAAAAGTGACCAACAGCAACATTTTGCTGCTGATGTCATCAAATATAATCCTGGGCTGTTCCAGATGAGCCTGCCCCATTTTAAAAAATCACAGCACAGCAGTAATCTCCAGAATGGGCGTCATCATGCAACATGGGTAAACCCAGAATTTAATCAGGCTCTTAAAAGGCAAAACCCAGTGATCCCTTTAGCCTCTTAAACACAGATTTCCTTCATAAAATCGGGCTCTGGAGGATTTCTGAATGAAACATCATCCTGCGGGAGCTGACCTCATTTCATGGTTTCTGACGGAGTGTTTTTTTGCATACCTGCCCTTCACTGAGTGGAGCGCTGGTGTGTTGATGAGCGTCTCTGAGCTGCTGCACTGAGCCTCAGAAGCACCCTGGTGAAAGAACCGGGGTGATTTTGGTGTAAAGCTGAAGAACAATATTTGGGTCTGAGGCTCACCTGCAGAGTTCTCATGGAGCTCCTGATGTGGATCACATTGCCAGCCTTCACTACTACCTTTGGCAGCTTGCTGAGGAACTGATCTGTGGTCAGCCTCCCACCTGAGAATCAGAACCAAAACCTTAAAAATGAACAATCCTCTGCTGTAGATCCAAACAGTGACAGACTCTGAACTAACCTGGCAAAAAACCAAATTAATTAATTGATTCATCCCTATAAACCGCTTGTCTCTCTCCAGGAATTGTGTCCCATGGCTCTCTAAACATAAATTCCTCGTCTCGACGGTCATGAACCTGAACAATGAACTTCTGGTGAGAAACCTTCACATTTGCCCGAAGAGAAAAAGCCTTTTGAGACAAACCTCCAAAGGTACCCCATCTGGAAATCTCTGCTGAAGCTCAGATGGAAAGTAGCCATCCATCAGGTCTTCCATGCACCGCTGTAAATATAATAAAAAACAAGATTTTAGGTGTAAACCTTAGGGGAAGTTCAATGGTGTTTTAATCAAAGGTCCAGAAGGCTAACCTGGGTGCTGTGATCCTGATAGGAGCGGAAAGGACCATCAAACATGACGATGCCGTTTTTGTAGAGCTTCAGCTGAATAGGATCTTTCTTCACCAGCTTGGCTCTGTTTCCCGTTACTTGCACGAAAGTCTCTTCGCCTGCAAGAGCATTCAGCTCTCTGATCCTCTGCAGAACAAGGTCAAAGTTCACTTGGAAGCCCTTTTCAGTAGGTAACCCTGCGCAGGAAAAACAAAACATATATAAGGGTGACAAAAATCATTTGCACTGGTTGAAAGCTGAGAGTTTACTAAACAAAATCAAACCATGTGAGCTTGTAGCACACTGGCTCTCTTCGGAGTCATTGGAGTCTCTGTCTCCCACCCAGATCAGACCATAGTCACTCAGGAAGTTCTGCAAGAACCAGTCATTTCAATTTACTCTGCTGTGCTGAAATGCAACAGAAATTAAGATTCACGCCTTTCAACAGTTAACCAGAATCTAAAAACTGCACATTTTACGTCACATTTTGCTGCAGTTACAGCTTCAGCGTTTAATGTGTGTCTACCAGTTTTACATATCTAAAAGGACTGAGTTTGCGGCCAATCCTTAACTAGGCTATTTAGACTTGGAATTTGAGTGGAAGGTAAACCTTCACCCCAGTCTCGGGTCATTTGAAGGACTGCCACATATTTAGCTTTATTTATCTTCCTAATTACTCTGGCTCTCCCACAGCATGATGCTGCCACCGCTATGTTTCATTGTGGGAATCGATTTTTTTTTTTTTTAGCAACGCCTCTCTTCTTCCCAATCTATTTTAAATCGAAGATCTGTAAAGTACAAAAAAAAACAAAAAATGTTCCTGGTTTCTGAAGCTCCTCCAGAGTTGAATTTCTGAGAGTTTTAATTAGGACAATTAAAATGAATATAAAAGCATGCCATACTTTTAAGATTTATATCTGTAAAAAATATTATTAATAAACATTCTTCCTCTTTCCTATTGTTTTTCTCATCTATCTTTATTGGTCTTTCACTGAAACCCTTGATAGAATACATAAACTTTTGTTTAAAAAAAGTGTTAAGGATGTGAATGATTCTGTACAACAATTCAATAATTTTACCTCCATTTCCTGCAGTTTATTTTGCAGCAGTTGGCACTTTTTTTCAAGATCTTCTCTGCTACATGACGGACTCTCTAAATCTATTTGAAGACAGATGGCAGTCAGAGAATATCTTTTATCCAGAAAAACAACCCAAACCTAGACAGGTCGGAGCTTGTTATGCACAGATACCTGACTCTTCCCTAGATCTCAGCTGCTCCTCCAAAACTGAAATGATTTCATCCTTCAGATGGATGCAGAGAAAACATTAGATTTCAGCCTGTATGGTGGATGTTCTGCTGATTTAGAAGAAGTCTGTGTGTTTTTCCACCTGCTGTTCTAGTTCTTGGGCTTGACTCCTCACTCTGTTCTCCAGTGTAGTAATGCGCTGCATCATGTCAGCCATGAGCTCAAAGTCACTCGGGGGAGAATCTGAGGTCAAAAGATGCAAAAAAAATCAGTTTAATTATTATTTGTGCTTTGTTGAACAAGGCAGAAGCAGATGTATTTTAAACTACTTTCAAAAATGATGCCTTGTTTTAGGGTTGCTCTGGGCTTTGAGGAGGAGGTTATGTTGGAAGGAGTGTGAGGTGGAGGAGAGGAAGAAAGATTTTAAGAGTTACCACCCACCAGTGGTGGAGAATAATATTATTAAAATGTTGAATATGTATTAAAAACATAAATGGTAAGAGTTTATGTAAAAAGCCTTTGACAAGATAAATCTTGTATAAGTGTTAGCTATTTTCACACTGATCATTTTTATATAGGTAGGAAGATAATTGTTTAATGAACCCCATAATATGATGGATGTTAATGTAAAAAATTATCATATCCCTTGTACTAAAACACCTTTGGAAATATCATAAGGAGTCTTATGCATATTTTCTTACTAGAATCAGGTTTAGCGGATTGCATAATTTGACCATTTATCTCTTTAATTAAGGATTGAGTTAAAAATATTGCTTATTTGCATAGATGTCCATCTATACATCTAATGACACCTGTACCTGTAGGAAGACCCACACATTCCCTGCAAAAAAAACACAAAAACAAAACAAAACAAAAAGCCAGCTTATTTTGGTGGATCCAAAGGATTCCCAGGCAAGATGGGATACACAGGGGACATAGTCCTTGGTTTTCCTCAGTGTATCTCCCCACAGGGAGGTGCCAGGTAAACTTCAGAAGGGAGGCAGCCACATGCTTAAACCACCGCAGCTGACTCCTTTCAAAAAAGCTTACCATATATGCAAATTAATATGTTATGTATGGAGTAATATATTTATTTGATTTTAAATTCAGGAACAGGCTGGATCTCTGGAAGAGAAAATATAAGGAAAATTACTTTTCAATTTTAACAAGGTTGAAAGATGTATGCATTCTAAGATCGATAGATGGTTTATTATTATTGTAACATGAGTAAAATGTAGGAAAAAATGCTGATATATTTAAAAATGCAGTGCAATAGATATATTAAAGGATATTTATTGCTATGCCGTTAGCCTAATCCATCTATTTCTGTCACGCTTGATCCATTCCGGGGTTGCGAGGAGTGCTGGTGCCTATCTCCAGCTGCCTATGGGCGAGAGGCAGGGTACACCCTGGACAGGTCACCAGTCCATCGCAGGGCACCACAGAGACACACAGGACAAACAACTATTCACTCACACCTAATGAGAATTTAGAGGAGCCAATTAATCTAACAGTGATGTTTTTGGGACTGTGGGAGGAAGCCGGAGTACCCGGAGAGAACCCACGCATGCTCAGGAACCTGGAACCTTCTTGCATCAAGGAAGCAGTGCTACCCACTGAGCCATTACCCTAATTATTAGACAATAATGCAATCACTCATCAAAATATGTGGTCTATATAGGTGTTAAAAAGTATTATACTTTTGGCATTAAATGATATTAATTGTTTTCTGTGCAGAGTGGACAGGAGGTTAGAAAATCTCAAAAGCTCAAGAACTGCAGGGAAACCCAGAATGCCAAATAGCAGTAACTACATCTCTATTACTAGACGCTGATGTTACCTCAGAAAAAGGTAATGAATTGTATTTAAAGTAGGCCTACATAGTGTAAAATGAATAGCCTGATTCTCTCATTGTAACTATAATAAACTGCAGATCTATTTTAACATGCTGATGTGTGAAACTCTAGAAATAGACGAATAATTATATTTCTCTTCAGGGCTTCTTCCACCACTTGATTCATCTGCTCTGCTGGTGTCATACCTTGCAGCTGGTTCCTCTTGAACAGCACACTCCTATCTTCCCTGCAGGCCAAAAAGGACACAGTATATCTAAATGCTCTATTTGAATATTTTAAGAAATTTGCACCCAGGAGCTGCGGTTCTGATAAAAATCTTACCCCTGTTCATTCATCAGAGGGCCCTGCAGAGGAGAGCGCCTCGTTTTCCTTTCCATTGATGAGGGAGAGCTCATTTTAAAAGAAACACTTTGTCAGTTCTTCCTCTCTTTTGTTTTATTTCTGTTTGTTTACAGTCTGTTGTCACTGGCAACAGAGAAGCCATTTAACACTAGATTCCAATATCAGCCGCTAGAGGTCGCACTGCCTCAGTATATACTATATTGTTATTTAGTATGAAAGCAAATTATTACCATATTTCAAATGAAAAAGCATTTCCAGAAAGGCTTTTTCATTTTCAAATTTAACATTTCAAATTGAATTTTGGTATGTATTTGCTGGGGTACATTTTGAAAATAAATCTCAAATGTCTTTTTCTTTTTCATTTTAATTAAGTAAAAGGATGAGCAGTGTTAAAGAAGAAAATGAAAATGCAAACAGGATTATTGATTACTAATTTCATTTATGAGTCAAACAATGCAGCCACATTCTTAAAATGAAAAAGCATTTCTGAAAATGCTTTTTCATTTGAAATATGGTAACGATTTGCTTCCATAATTTAGCAGCAGTTCATTAGATATAGGATACAGCTTAATGATTTTTTTTGTTTGTTTGTCTGTTTGTTTAATATATACGTTTTAATATTTTTTGAATTGGATGAAATATGTAACAACAAGAAATGAAAAGAAAAATGCGTGTTTATTAAAAACAAACAAACAACAACCAAAAAATAACAATAAATCCATTACATGCATAATAATATATCAGGTTTGTGGGTTTTTGTTCCAGTTGTCTGATTATTGGATTTAAATAATCATGTGCTTTTTAACAGAAAAGTTATTTTCTGGTCATATAAGCAGGTCAACAGAAAAGTGCAATCCTGGTTCAGTTAAAATATGAATGGATTAACGGAGAAAAGCATGATTTATTTGTTTGTTGTGATCAATCTGGTGAAATATTAGATGCAAACATGCTGGTGTGACCCCTAGTGGGCCCAGCCGGTGCTGCAGCCTGGCTCAGACACACAGAGAGGATGAGGCCTGCAGTTCCTGCACCGATAAACCCATCATTCACCCGGGCCGGTTAGCATGGTCCGGGTTATGGATGCACCAACCGCACATTTCGACGATAACCGACCGAACCTGCAGGATCTGAGGGCAGGTTCGGTGTCTCTGAGCGGCCGAGCGGCGCTCCGTCCCTCCGCAGAGGCATCGGAGGCTCAGATCCTCCTGGACCGCGATGATCCTGCGGGACAGACTGACGGTCCCCCGGAGGAATCCCGTTGGTGCAGATCCACGGAGGAACTGGTTCACGGTGTGGGTGAGAGGCTATCGGGATGCTTTGGAGACGTTGAACCCAAAGCGGAGATGATCGGTCCAGTGAGCGGCTTCACCGACGAGACGCTGCTGGAGAAAGACGAGTGAGTGACCGGTTGTGATCGGCCTGCCAGCAGCAGCATCCATATGCAACTACATGCTTTAAAAAACACACAGAGACATATAATCTCAATCTAGACATGTATGATGCTGGATGGGATGAAAATAGAATTATCCTCATCATCAGGTTATGTAGGACCATCAGCACATACTGGGAACTGCTGCACTGTTCAATACAATATTGCTTCTGCACATAAAATGCATTGCAGAAGGGTTCGTACCCAGCAAACACCAACAAGTTATTTACATGCTCTCGTAACACACAATGAATCAAAATAGTAAAAAAAAAAAAAAAAAACACAACAAAATAATCCTGCAAGTCACCCTGATTGCATCATGGTTAAACACGGCGGTGGCAGCATCATGACGTGGGGTTTCTTCTCTGTAGCAAAGACAGGGAATCAGGCTGGAGATGTTTATAAGACTGATGGAGCTTCACTTGGAAACCTGAAAGATTAAGCCTGAAGTGGCAGGATAGCATCCTTAAACATGGACCCAGGGCTGCAGTAAAGGTTTAGACTAAAATTTTTCAATGTAAAAATTGTAGACAAATACAACAACTAAAAATACCTAAAAAAGTAATTTCAATACATTACATTTGCTTTGTAATAATAAGACAAATCTGTTAAAGTTCTGAAAAACAGAAATAGTTTTACAGGAAACATTGAGATCTTTAACTCCACCCTTACAGGAACCTATATTCCTCAGAATGCATCACAGCTGTTATCCTGACTTGCAGCCACATACCTAGATGATATCATGGTGGAGAAAAAAGAAGAAGAGCAGAACTCCTGGAGAAACTGCTTGCAGAGCATGACGTCTGTTTCCTCTTTCTCCTGCAGGATCTGGAAAGCTCTGGCTTCCAACTACGGCCAGGTGATGCCGGTGGACTGGAAACGGTGTCGGACGCGCTCCCTCTACATCTCTACATGCAACCTCGAGGAGAGACCTGTGAGCAGCTCTACCACGTCCTCCTACCACCCGCTTTTCCCCCTCCCCTCATCCTGCCATCAAATCCCTGCTCTGTTTATCTCACAAAGTCTTATTGTGTCTGATTAAATGCCCTTCCCCCACTTTCCTGTCCCTGAATAGAGAGAGACAGATGATGCAGCGGAGCTGTCCGACGAAGATGAGCTGAGGGAGCAGCTGGACATGCACTCCATCATCGTTCCCTGTCTAGATCAGGAACCTCTTGTCACAGCCGATCAGGTATGAAATCAGGTCACTTCACTCTATTTTTCACCGATCCTCATTAAGAGTTTTGTTTTCTGTGCAGGTCATTGAGGAGATCGAGGAAATGATGCAGGACTCACCTGATGCAGAGGGTAATCCCTCCCAGTCGGACCTGTCCATGCTCTCTGTTGACATCCAGCGAAGCAGCCCTGGCTTCAAGGACAGTGAGTGGACTCTGCAGCAAACCACGGCGGCTTCTTTTCAAGCACTTTTTACTCAGCGTGTATTTGTTTCATGGCTGCAGGATTGAGTTCCCTGAGTGTCGCGGAGCTGCTGGAGCGTCTGACGGAGACAGAGGTGAACATCAGGAGGTTTTCTGAGGAGCTGGTGCAGCAGCTGGCTGTCAGAGATGAGCTGGACTTCGAAAAGGAGGTGAAGAACAGTTTTATCTCGGCCCTCATTGACGTGCAGAACCGGCAGAAGGAACACAGAGAGTCGCTGAGGAAGAAGAAGAAGCTCAAAGGTGGAGCTGGTCCAGCTCAGGGTCTCCCAGAGAGAACACCAGGATCAGTAAATAAGCTTTAAGTATCATTCTGACGGTGGGATGTTTTTAATTTCTTCTGTTGGGCGACCAAACTTTCCTGGATTTCCTGAGTCACTCTCTGTTTTAACTTCCTCTTTTTCATCTTTTTCTTCACTTTTCTTCCTTCATTCTTAGCGCTTCAGCATGGACGGCCTCTCCTCTGTTATTCAAAACAGCTTTCGGCAAACATTTGGCAGCGGCTGCAGCGAAAGACAGGTTCTGCTCCCCATATAGCCATAAAGTGGATTTTTTTTCTGTTTCCTTCTTTTCTTTTTGACTGAGGACATTGAAGATTCCCTACATCACATATCTTTTCTTAGCAAATAGTTGTTTAACCTTCCTGTGTCCCTGCTCTCCTACGGTTTGCAGTATTTGACCACAGTCATTCCCTACGAGAAGAAGGGACTACCTCCATCTGTAGAAGACCTCCAGATCCTCACCAAGAGTAAGACTTCTCTTATCTAGTCTGATGTTTGGCTTCTTTAAGCCAAATCGCTGCTGATTTATTGATCTGTTCTAGTTTTGCAAGCTATGAGAGACGACAGCGACAAGGTGCCTGGTCTCTTGACGGACTACATTCTCAATGGTGAGCTTCTCTCTCCTCTGTTTTTACACTATGGCCGTCATTGACAACATTTTGGTGTTTTATTTGATATTTCATGTTTAGTTTTTATTGTATTGAATTTAACTTATTTTAGGTATTTGCACTAATTGATACAGTCCTTACCTTCCTTTAAGTAAAGGGGTACTTTTAGGAACTTTAAGGTTACCCTCTGGAAAAAGGCAATTTTCCTGAACTTACCAGAAGAAATGTAAGTTCTGAAAAAGCATCCGCCAAATTTAATGGAAAAGTAGCTACATGGACATTTCAGATAAGGATAAGTAACAGTTTCTGAAGGTTACCTGCAAGCTCTATTAAAGTTCTGGGAAGTTTGTTTTAGATTTTGAGTGAGCAAGCTCTAAGCACTGGGAAAGTTACCAGCAAGTCTTATAAGTGTCCCAGGAAAGCACATTGTAATTTTTAAGAAACTAACCTCTAGGTAATACCAGGCTTTTACTGCTGTGTCTTTTTTATGAGGTTTGATTTGATCTTCTTGATCTATAAAGATAGATGGCATCTATCACAATAGAAACGAAATGCAAGAGTTTATTTCTAATTTCGTATTCATAGCTGCTGTAATAACAGCATTTTTGGAGATAATTTAAAATACTCCCTATTCATCTGGTAAAAACCATGTCATCCCAGCCATGTTGGAGGGAGAATGTCTTCTCATGGGTTCTCGTTTGGAACGAATCTAGAGTTTTACAGCATAAACCATCCCAGTGTGGTATTATTGATTGGTAAAATCAGATTAGATGGGCTGCCCTGTTCCTAAGCTTTCCGTTTCATGGGTAATTTACAGATATATCATGTTTTAAAGCGTGCAATATTTTTTCAGCCTTACTCTGCCTGTCTTCTTTTGGTCGTCTTTTGGTCTTCTGTTGTTTGTTCGTAAATGTTCTTTAACAATCTAGAGGCTTTCATGGGTTAACTGTATTATTAACAAGCATAATTTGCAAACAAAATACTTATTTTGCAAATCAGGAGGCTTCTAAGAGCAATTAGTAGCACTGTGTTTTATTCAGGGGTTTCAGAGTAAAGTGGGATGGTTAAAAACACCTTGCTGTTCGAATTTGCTTTTAATGAAGGTTTTATATTTAGGAAGTTAGTTTTTTTCACCAATCCCCTCTTGGGCCTCTGTAATTCAGACTGATGTCAGCCTCACTCCTTTTGTTTTTGATGAAACGGATAAACTAGCTCTCTGACTAATACCGTAAACCTGCAAACATGCTGTGTGTTATATTAATATCGTTTACACTAGCATGAATTGCAAGGATTTTTCACTTCTCCTAATTAGTTTATATTCAGGTCAAGTCCCTAAATGTTTAATTGAAACAAAAGTAAGTTTTCACAATTAATTTCAGTCATTCAGAGTTTGCTTTCTTTGCATTTATTGAGAAAATGAATTGTAAATTTTTAAATTAAGGCTTTATCTCCCAGAGAATGAACAGGTACTGATCATTACAAAGAATGCAGTCCAAAGTGTCTCTTCAAAGAGAGGAGAGGCCTGCTGAACATCAGCTATTAATCCTCAACTCCTTCAAGTGGCTCCAGTGGCTCCCCTCAAGGGCCGGTGTCCTGCAGCTTTTAGAAGTGTCCTTGGTTCTGACAGCGTATTTACTGCCACATAATGTCATCAAGCTCTGTAGAGGCCTGCTTGTAACCATTCAGGATGTCTTGAATGAATGTAAAATATGCATGACGCTGAGCCTCGCTGGCTGACCTTAAATATCACTGAACAGAAGCTCTTCCTCTGAGACAGAGCATATTTCTAACACTAACAGAGGGAAGCTGCGAGACTCTATTCCATTATTACCATTACAGGGATGGAAGTATGATGATGCGTGGATACTATTTTGATGTTACTGCCCCAGAGAGCTCAAACAGAGAACACCTGTGTTCTTTTGTGTATGTCTGTGTGACTGTGTCCTTTTATACGTCTCCTTTTGTTGCTCTGTTCATACTGCTTGTTCGAACCAGCCTAACTAGTTCTCATGGTCTGCTTCTGTTTCTCCTGCTTTGATCTATTTGCTCCCATCCATCCATCCATCCATCCATCCATCCATCCATCCATCCATCCATCCATCCATCCATCCATCCATCCATCCATCCATCCATCCATCCATCCATCCATCCAACATACACACACCATACAGTGACGCACGTATCTGGGAACCAGAGGAAACTGAGCTTCTGTCTTCTGTGTTTTCTCTTCGATCTTCTCTTTTCATTTTGTTTTTTTGTCTCTCTCCACCTCTTCTGTCCTTCTCTTCTCAATTGTACGCTGCCTTAAACCCTCTAGCTCTGGTCTGAGCGAAGGACTGTGAGGTTTGTGGCACATTCCTGAGTGACATGTTGTCCTGTCTCTTACGAGGCGAGAGCCCCCCCACCCCCCAAATAACAATGTTGTTCAGTCAGACCTCAAAGTTAACCCTTTGCCAGTCTTTACATCTGAGTTGCTGCAGTTAAATTAGAAGTTAGTATCTATCTAACCTAAAAAGCATTGTGAAGTAAAATAATAAAGATTGTGTTTTGCTTTCTTTAAATTAGCACAGTAGTAGATTTTCCCCAATCTTTGTCTTTGATCACTTGTAATTTCCTTAAGGTAATTTTCATTTTCTTCTTTCTTCCAGTGTTTTGTCCGACATAGAGGGAGTCTAAAGATCTGCAGAGAGTAAAAGTTAAAAAGAAGAGGACTTGTGAAGCACACTTAATTTATTCCTGACTGTTATTACCTCCATGTGTTTTTCTTAAATTTATGTTAAGGTTGAAAACTTTTATTTGCAAATATATGGCATTTCTGCATTTTTCCACTTTTTTTTTTTATTCCATTGAATATTAAATGATTTAATTAAGGGCAAAGTGGTAAAGCTAAGGGCTTAGTAAAAACGAACATTCATCTCCTGAGCCAAGAATCAAATGCAACTACAGTGGAGTATTTTTTAAAAAAGAGCAAAACATTTTGTAAGCACAAAAGAGCAAAAGGACAAGCTCTTTATCCCGGCACAGGAAGTGGGAACTGAGAGAAGAGAGGCTGAATAATAAACAAACTGATACATAAGATGTTATAAACAAAAAATAGAAATGCATTCTGTATCACTGAAAGACAACAATCTGCCCTTATCTTATCAGTACTCTACCTCCAGCACCATTGATAAACTCAACATGCAGCAATACATGACCTGCTGTAAGCTGGAATGACGAATAAAAAAAAAAGAAAACCATCTATGCATTCGAGTAGAAGCTGCATCTGAGATCAAAACGCTTCGTGTGGAGCAGACCTCGACTCCTACTGTGTTCCTACCAGCTGCCTTTGCCAGAACTTTTCTACATCATGGAGAACTTATTTTCACTAACTGATGAATGTCATTATAATAGACTAACTACAGAGGCAATGTTGCTATTTATTTATTTATGTAAATACTGTATTTGGATAATAGAGATCTTCATGTGTTTGTTTATTTTACTACTGAGTATAAATAATAAAGTCGATAATAAAAACAAACTGCTCAGTATGTGTTGAAACTTCATAATCTTCCTGCTCAATGCTTCCAGCATTTATTAGAGATCCAGGTAAAGAGGAACAGAAACCTGGGGACATTTTATACTTTTATTGCTTACATACAATCCTTCAGCCAAAAACAAAACAATTCATTTTATTATTCAGTAATGCGAACCCACATGTTGGTGACTTATATTTTACAAAATATGGAAAGAGGATTCTTTGTGTGTGTCTTTTTACACCATCTTTTTAGAGGAGAACATAAACAATCCCTATAATCCTGCTTTCTTCTCAGCTCACATCACAGGCTTTCTATAGGATGCAGGTTTGAGATGCTGATGAATAAAGAGGTACATTTCACCCAGTCAACCAGAGTTTTTTGTAAAGAAAACGAGGTGTGTCCTAAAAAAGGGCCCTTCTACTGTTCTGCAGCATAACAAATCATACTTCATTCTTAACAGTGACCGTTTGGTGTTTCTTTTAATGTATTTTTGTTTTGCTTTGAATCCTAATTCAGTCTCATCTGAAGCACAATGCTTCAATTAAATAGTTTAGCAACAAAGTGCTTTTTTTTTTTTTAAACTTGTGATAGTTGGACAGAGGGGGCTTTATTTTTCAAGTACATCCCCCCAAAAAACTGCGTAGTCTGTCAACCATGGTCATCATTGCTCCAGTAGACCTGAAATAACTACATTTCCTCCTCAGCATGCCATATTGTCTGCAGAAGTCTAGTTATTTACCAAAGACAGGCGTGTTTCTACAGAGGAACACATAAAAGCTGATTGACAGCAAATTAATACTGTTTAAGAGAAGAAGAATTTGATCAATGTTCTTTCAGGCCCGGACAATAATTTAATACGTCAGAAATACTTACATGCAGAAACACCAAATAGTCTTCATTGGTCTTTCCAGCTTCAGATCAACACCTTGATGCCAATTTCTCTGAAACAACACTAGCAACAATATTTGCCCTGGAAATCAAGACTTAGCTGGAAGAACTTAAAAAAAAAACTGCAAGAACAGAAAAATGCTAACAGGGTCTGGCAACCCTAGCAGAGTTTTTATTTTACCATATTTACTAGTCACTGTCTAAAGTGGCAACACAAACTTTGGTCTCCCAAACCACTCCAGGTTTAACGTCTTTTATTATTGCTTTGACTAGAGGGTTAATTAACCGATTTCCTGACCTATGACTGCTGACACAAATCAAATTTGATTGAGAGACACTTTTCTTTGTTTGATAAGGAGGTGAAAAAATGGGCCTCGGTATCACTTCAGTATATCAGGAAGCCCTTTGTTATGTGATTTAATAGTAAAGCATGGCATTAATGATCTGGAATTTTACAGAATCAGTTATAGTTTTTCTCTTTTGGTTCTGCTCATTTCTTGAAACCAAAATTACATCCTCAAAACCTCGAATATCAATTGTCAATACAGTCTTACAAATTAACACAACACAGTAGTTAGCTTGCAGAAGCATATATGTCTTCCAAGACTGTTTACTTTCCCTTCAATAGTTTTTGAATTTCTGACAAATTTCTCACAAAACTCACGAGTGCCACCACAAAAAGCTAAAATTCTTCTTAATTCTTCAAGTTGTTTTTCATTTTAGGGTTGTGCCAAAACCAACCATGCTAAATGTAGGCTACATATACTGAATCATTTGCCTACATGTACAAAGACATTGCAAATGTTCCAAAGTGAATGAGAAATTCAATTCTGTTGTGAGCAATTGCCAAGAGTTTTAGATGTTTGTTCGTATTATTTCAGGAAAGTCATTTTTGTTTCAAGAAATGAACCAAAATAATGTAGAAAAACTGTAATGTAGTGTAAAAGTGAGAGGATGCTGAGAAACCTTTTCTAAAATAGAGAAACATACTCAGCTGAAAAGAAAAGTATCTTTGTGCTTAGATTAACAAGAATAAAAGGATTTCTACCATTTTTATGCAGTAAAATCTATTTTTTAAGTAGAAACAACTTTGTATGCACCAGCCAGGATTTATAGTTTATATCTTTCAGCATTGTTGAAAAAATGAAGATGTGAATTCAATGTTTTTTGTCATTTGGTTATGAGGCTGGAAATCTGTGCAATGACATGAGAAATTGTTGACATTTTCATGCACAATGACCCAATATTTACAATAAATAACTGAATAAATAGCTGAAAGTACAACTAGATTTGAAGCCCATAATAGAGTTCCTTTGTTATGTAAGACCCTGCCACGTGTTTGCAGCGCCTTGTTCAGCTCTCTGAAGAGATCCAGATGTAGACTCAAGACACCCCAAAACATCAGACCCCTGGCGCCTGAACTGCAGTCACTCCAGGCAACAGAAAGGAAAACAAAAGATTACATATTCGGTTGAAAAAAGTAAAATATTCACAGAAAAAGATTACTTTGCCTTGCAGATTGTGCATTCTTAGACTTAGACAACTTTTAATGTCCTTTTGTATACACAGAGTGCATACAAAAGAAAAAATTCATTTTGCACAGCTTTCAGACAGTAAATGAGCAACAGCTAAGCAGTGAAATGAACATTTCCTTTCCATAAAGTGCAGCAGTAATTAAATGTAAACAGTGTTGGAAAAAAGACATGGTGCAAAACGCATTGATATGGAAGTTCAGAGCATTTCAAGGCAAATACATATATAGTGCAGATATGCAGTATTTTGGTTTGGTGTTATCAGTGTGATGTAGAATCTGTAACTTGATTTAAAATGTTCTCAACAGTTCAGCTGTCTGATGGCAGTGGGGAAGAAACTGTTGCAAAGTCTCTTCCCAGAGGGCAGCAGAGAGAACAGTCCATGGTGGGAGTGTGAGGGGTCATTGATGATGTTACGGGTTCGGGACACGCAGCGCTGGGATGAAATGTCTTTAATAGAGAGAAGAGGAGCCCCAGTGATCCTCTCTGCTGTTCTCACCACTCTTCTCACCTTCTTCCAGTCTGAGGCGCTGCAGCCTCCACACCACACAGTGAGAAAGCTGGTCAGAACGCTCTCTATGGTGCTTCTGTAGAAGGTGGTGAGGATGGGTGGGGCAGGCGGGCTCTCCTCATCCTCCGCAGGAAGTACAAGCGCTTCTTTGCCATTTTGACCAGTAAGGTGTTGTTAATAGAGCAGGTGAGGTTTTCTGTGATGTGTGCACCCCCAGGAATTTGGTTCGGGTTCGTCCTGAAGTTTCTGTTGAGACGACAACAATTCTTGGTAAATAACAAGCAAATCTAAATAGAATTCTTCATCAAAACATAAGAAATGTTGATTCTAGCAACACAATAATACATAGCAAGTGATAAAACTGATACAGATAAGGTCCTCTTATGATTAACCAATGGAGCATTTAAAAAAGCCTGTCCGTCACCTTGCTCTCCAATAAGAAAAAAACAACATAAAAAAAAAAAAACGCAGCTGTTTGACATCTGTTAAACATTTGTTCTCCCTGAGATAAGACTTCCTCTTATGTTCTGCCTGCCCTTCAGCACCAGGCTCCAAGCTTTGCTCAGAGTTGAGAGGAGCTGCAGCAGGGGAGCAGTTTTGTTAACTGTAGAGTCAAGCTTTTTCTCTTCAATCATGGATCTTCGAGGGATTCCAGTAACATTTTGTCTGCTTCTGCTGATGCACTGCTCACTGCAGCAAACCTCCTCCAAGAAGAGAAATGGCAAGAAGGGTAAGATTTTCTGTCAGACCTTTGCAAAATATACATAATTTAACATTTCCACATAATCTCTAGTGTCAACAACCGATTCCAATGTATCTAAAGAAGTTTCAAAATGTTAGACCTCCAAAAAAAGGAGAAAAGTTAGCAAATATTGAAGGGGAATGATCGATTTTCATAGATGAATACAGATTATACATTTTTCTAAAGCTCTGCTGCTTAAGGTACCTGCTAATACTTAGAAAATGTGATATTTGTGCTTCTTAAACCAGATTCTGCTGCAATTGAGAAGTTGCAGAAGCAGATTGACGACATCGTTCAGGAGCTCAACATGTTGAAGGAACACCAAGCCTTACAGACAGGTAGGTTTTAAATGATGAATGAGAAAGAAGTTTAATATGAGGCGCTGCAAGCTATGTGTTTGTTTTATTGGATAAGTTAAACACATGAGCCACATTGTTTTTGTCTGCCTCCCCAGTTTGTCTGAAAGGCACCAAAATTCTCGGAAAGTGTTTCCTGGCCGATCCAGTGAAGAAGACCTTCCACACCGCCAGCGAAGACTGCATCGCCAAGGGAGGCACCCTGAGTACTCCTCTAACGGGAGATGAGAACGACCAACTGTACAGCTACGTTCGCCAGAGCATTGGCTTGGAGGAGCAAATCTGGTTGGGCATCAATGACATGGTGACCGACGGACATTGGTTGGACCAAACAGGGTCCATTGTGCGCTTCAAAAACTGGGAGACTGAGATCACCCAGCAGCCTGATGGAGGTCGCACTCAAAACTGCGCCATCTTGTCCACCACAGCAAACGGAAAGTGGTTTGATGAGAGCTGCAAAGCTGAAAAGGCCTCAGTGTGTGAGTTTAAAATTGTCTGAGAGCTTTGCTGTCACTCGTTTGTGTAAACCCTGATATCACTCTATGCAGATGATATTAGCATTTAAACAGGAAATCGATTAGGTTCCATTGTTCCAAGAAAGTAAATGTCGCAGTATAAGCTACTCATTTGAGCGTTTATGTAAGTTATACAATTACTTATGTATATTCTTAAATACTTTAGATATCATTAAACATAATATCTGTATTCCCTGTCTTTGTATTGCCTGCTTAATGTAATAAAACTTAGTTTTATAACAAATGTGTGTTTTCTATGGCATGTGTCCAGTTTTTATTAATGCAAGACATGCTGCCTATATTACAGAATATTGATCAAAATGTGTAGCTATTAATGAAATTCTCAGGAGCTGTAAAAAAAGAGTTGTGTAAAATGTCATAAAAAGGAATCTAGGATATTGAAAGTCTGCATGAAAAATAAAACTAAAGTTTAATATATTTAATCCTCAGGAAGATGAGTGTAAAGACAACATCTAAACTGCAAAGGGAACAGCAGAAAAAAAATTCCCCTTCTTCTCTTTTTCATATTTTAACAAACACAATCTTGAACTCCTAATTCTTTGTTTCGAAGCGGACGGCATTTTTAAATACACTGATCAGGGTTCCATCAGGCTTTGATGGGTTTTTTTTTTAAGCTTGCTTAATAACTCTTTTATTAGGCTAGCAACTGAGTAAGAACTCTTAATTTTGATCCCAAAACTGTAAAAAAAAAAAAAAAGGTCTCCTGAACCCAACGGGTCAGCCAGTGTTTGCAAACATAAACAACTTACAAATATAATTACATAACAGATCCTGCTACTCTTTTGATTTTTTGAATTGTTTTAATCTAGCTACATTGATGGATTAGGTAATAATCCACAGCCCTTCAATTGCATTACAGCAAAAACATTAACTAACTAGCTCCACAACTTTAATTTTAAAGTGGTCAGACATTTATAGGTAAACATGCCGGACACTTCATTTACATATCACTTTTAATAAAAATGCCTCTGTTCAAAGTGCTGTACATAGAGACAATTATATATATATATATATATATATATATATATATATATATATATATATATATATATATATATATATATATATATATATATATATATATATATATATATATATATATATATATATATATATATAAAACAATATAAACAATATAAAACAATATAAACAATATAAAACAATATAACAATATAAACAATAAATATATATAAGATATGTGGATGAATATTACAAAAATACACAGTACAAAATGGAAATAGTTAAAAAAAACAATAATAAAAAACAAGAAAACAATAACAAATAATAATAAACATGGGGCCGATGCCATGTGCGTGCATGGAACAACCATGTACACACACAATCCCACCTAAGGATAATTTAGAGAATGCAATAAGAAAAATAATAATATATATATATTATATACAGTATAATTTAAAAATAAATAATAACAGGAATCAGTCCCAATGCTGAAAGTCCATAAACAATGTAACCTAACTAGGAGTAGAATAGGCTTGTCAACAACAGGGTATCTTCTCAGAGTAATCTGAGGTTACAACACTCCATCAACAGGACAGTACTTCCCTACAAATATTAATTTAATATAACACCGGCTTTCACATTCAAAGACAAAAGTTATGCATAAGTGCTCAGTCTTGGAAAGTTTAGTGGTATCATTTTTTTTTGGTAAGGCATTTCATGCAATGGTAGAAACACAGTTGCTTTTTTCATCTCACAAGAAATAATAGCCCTACCTTTTACAACAACCCCCATAATCTATTAAAAAACAATTAATACCATTTGGTAAGTTAAAACACACCGACTATAAATTTGAAGAGAGAGAGAGAAAAACAAAACAGTCAGGCTTTAAAAGCCCACAAAAAACAGTTGAAGTCCGGTTTGAAGAAGGCATTTTTCTTTGCTGTGTTAAAAACACTGTTCTGGACATCGGCGTCGCCAGACCCCATTTACTGGGGCACGTGCCCCAGTATAATTGAGCTGTGCCCCAGTATAAATCTCATGAATATTTGCAACAGTATTACATTTTTTCAATGCATCAATTTAGATAATTCCAACAGAAGGAGACGCATATTTCTACTCAAATGCGTAGCAAGTGTGTGTTAACTCCAAATTGAGGATGTATTAGCGCCCCCACGTCAGCGCATGTCAGTGCATGAACTGCAGGTAAACTAACACGCTGCTCTCAACTAAGTTGGATGGGACACTGTGCGGCCGTGACGCATTTTTTTTTATTTTTATTGACAGGTAAGAAACGTTGTTCTGGTAACGTTTCTTACCTGTCAATTTTATTATTTTCCCAGTGAAACCACATGATTTATAGGCTACTAACTGAAAATTACTGCATTGGTTTGTAGATGGATATCAGGAAACTCCTCACACGAAGCAGAGACAGGGAAGCAGTAAACAAGATGAGAGAGAGGGAGGTGAGGTCCCGTAATGAATTAGTGATTTAAGCTAACTAGTTACATTAGGAACATTATAAGCAATATGATAGATATTTACATAATTATAAATTTAAGTTTTTTAATGTTTGCTGTAGAGAATGAGAATGAAGGTGCTGGAGTAGGAAAGGGAGGAGGAGGCGAGACTGACAGGCAAGAGACAGAGGAGAGACAGGACCATGAAGGTGATGAGGGAGCAACAACCAGCTTCCACAAACAAGAAGGGGACTTTAGTGACTTAGGGGGAAAGCATGATGGTCCTAAACAAGTGAAGTTGTCCCACAATCCCCAGGACAAATTTGGAGTAAAGGAAAACCTTCATTTAATTCAAAATGGTTTGAAAGCTTTGGTTGAAAAAGAAATCCTTGTCATCAAGGATATGCAGTGTTTTCAACTTGCTTGATAACATCATGTTCCCAACACTAACGAAGGTCATCCAGATCTCCATCACCATCCCAGTCTACAGCTGTAGTTGTGAAAGCTCATTCAGTGTGTTGAGAAGGCTCCACACTTGGCTGAGGTGCACAATGGGACAAGACAGGCTCCATCATCTTGCTATTTTATCAGTTGAAAAGGAAGAACTTTCTAAGCTGAGTCACAGTCTAGTGATTGACCGCTTTGCAAAAATGAAAAATAGGAGGTAAACTTTAATGCTCAAAAAATAAAAGAAAAACTTTCCCCTGAACTAAAACTCTGAAACCTAGGAATTAATGATTACTTCAGAATGTGTATAAGGAAACTTTTTATTTTTAAAGTTGGTAAAGTCTTATTTTTTATAGCTGCAATATTAAAAATTTTCATGTTTGTTAAAACAAATATGCTCTTACACTCATTAATATCTCAACTGGTAATTTTGGTAGGAATTTATCAGGGTGGGGCGGTGTGCTTGTCTGTATTTGCGCATGGAAGGAGGGGCATATGCGGTAGGGGGCCAGTGCCCCAGTAAAGCTTTGTGCCTAGCAACGCCCCTGGTTCTGGAGGAGCAGAAAGCTCAAAAAGACTGACAGGCATGTCAGGGAAATGTCAAAGTCCAACTGGAAACTGAACCAAATCATGTGTTCACTCGGCTTCCTTGGGCTTTAAATGTGTTCCAGGAGTCGGAGGACGGTCCCCCAGCAGCTCCAGGTAACTCGGAGGTCTGTTAGGAGGTGGAGGACCTTGTTGATTTTGGAAGATTGACACGGTGCCTTCATCACCAGCTTTCACATGGATTGTTGGCCTTCTGCAGTCAGTGGCAACAGACTGGAAAGTTTCATACTCATCATAAAAACCGTTTCCTTGCCGTTTCAGGAGGTGTGAGTAGATTAGTGACTCATCGATCATGGAATACAAATGTTCATCCTCCTCAGAGCCTACTGGTAGCCTGTTGGGTGCTGGCTGGACGTGGTCGTTACCTGAATTGTAGACTGACACTTCTGGAACAGCTTCTCTATTATTCTTCCTTTTTTTGCAGAGAAAAGACACAAAAACAAAATGTATTGACAAATACAGTTTGTAATTGATTATTAGAGCTAGAGAAAACATGAGAGCTCCATGTGCAGCTATTTCCTACATTTAGTTGTGCTCATCTCTGCTTCAATAGCTTTCATACATTAAAAATGTTAAATTATTTATCCCAAATTTCTGATGCTTCTGCTTTTTATATGACTTTCATCACGCACTGAATGCAATTTAGCAGGTAATAGTTTTTGTTTAACTTTCAATTTCCTTTCAGTCTTACGTGTCAGTTTCAAACCCTTTCTGAAACGTTTATCTTGCCTAACAGGAGTCTAGTTCCCTCACTGGGTAAAAATGTTGGGAAATATAATTATCATTCTTCATATGTATATGTAAAACTAACAAGTGTTTCTCAGAAGGTGAATGGAGTTTTATATAAGTTAAACCTACTAGAGGCTTCAAAATACAAAGGTAATTCTTTTACCAATAATTACCTAAGGCCAGAGCTACAGTTTTTGAAAACGTAAAAGGCCAAGTCTTAATTTCGTTTGCACTCAAGGATGAATGAATCAGAAAACACCAGAAAAAATGTATGGTATCTACCAGGTGAGCAATTATACCTGTTAAGTATGGCTGCTTAAAATAAATCTATACTCTACAACCATTTTTTCTTATATATAACTAAAAATATTTGAAGCCAATTCATAATTTTTCTTTCTCCTGAGAATTAACTTGCTTTATGATCCATGACAAACATTTCTAAAACATACATTGAACATTGTGATATCCAAAATGTAAAACGGTTATACATGCAAGCAAAGTTTGTAAGGAAAAGAGAAATAAACTAAAGAACTCACTTAAGCCTTATGTAAACCATCAGCAGCAAAATGATGAAAATGATGAGTAGACCGACCAGAGCACAAAGTATTGGGATCACAAGAGGTTTGCCTAAAAGTTTGAGAGAAAAAAAAGAAATTTCAAATTTCTTTCGGCACATTTGCTCTAAAAAGTGAGAATAAACATTTGATGATTACAGAAATACATCGAAATCAACCCAAGAATGGCTCCACCAGAAGAAAACTGTCAATAACTATATCTGATGGAAAATCATTGGGATAGTGGGAAAATTTACCCAAATCAATCTGTAAAATTCAGAAAAAATAAAAATAAAAATCCACATAGGAAATCTTAATGATGAAATTGAGAAGAAGAATATTTTAGGTTGGCTTGTCCCAAACAATTTTTAGAGATCAGCCAATTATTCAGGATAAAAGATGTACAAAATATTTTAAGAAAAGTTAAGAAGGGAAAACAAATAATTCAAATAGTTACTGTGGCAAATACAGAAATTTTTTTTTTAGAAAAACAAAAAAAAATGTAACTTACTTTCAGATTTCTTCTGCAGAGAGACCTCAAAGGAGAAATTATTTAGTCTCTGGCCTGCTGGGAGCTCCAGAGAGAAGCTCTGATTTTTCCTGATTGGAACCGTGTTGGGCCCTTTGGAACAGTATTTCTCCAGCGTAGCTCCTTTGTCTTGGAGAGTGAAGGTGTGTTTATCAGGACATGTTTTTCCATACCAATCTGTTGGAGACCTCCCTCAAAACTGATCGATAAGGAGTTTGTTGATGAAGAACTAATATTCCAGGTAAACCTGCGACGGTATTTCTCTAAACCTGAGAATTCTTTATAAACCTGGGAGACCGTGTCACATGATGTCTGGCTACATGCTGAGAAAAAAATAAGAACCCAGAGATAAAATTAGTCACTCTTAAAAAACATAATCTTTTATTTCTTCATACAAAAAGGATAGGTTTTTGTTCAGCCCTCCTTCCAATAGGACAGCATTTAAGCTTCCACAACTTTTCTGAAGGTTGGAGCAAACAAGGAGAAATCTATACCCATTTGTTTTGCAGGGTGCACAGATTTTTCCTTAGAAATGCCAAGGTAATTTAGAGTCAATAATGCCATGCCCTCTATCAAGGGTTAGGCTCAAATCTTATTCAACAGCTGGCTTAAAGTGCTCCTCCTCATATTCATCTATTTGTGGCTAAAAATCTTAGTCTCATCTAAACAAAGAGGGTAGTTCAAGTCAAAGTTTAGGTAACTTCACACATTTATATCTGTGATGATTGGAGAGTAAATGTCTGCCATTATCATTATCATTGTAACCTGCACAATATATGTGGTCTTCTGCATTTAACCCATCCTCTATGGACCTTTTTCCTGCATTTCTCAACATTAATTCCAAATATTTTTTTTTTGTCGTCCACCATCAAGCTCACCAGGATATATTAATGTTGAAGCCCATGAACCAGAATATAATGGATTAACAATGAGAAAAAAACATAAATAGTAATGAAACAATTATACAAATTGAGATAAAATCAAATTTTGGATTTTTTAGGATTTATTTTTCTCTGCAAAAAGAAAACATCTAAAGTATGAAGTTATGCAACTGGAATTAAAGATATTCTTATATTAAAAAATGCTTCAGCTACATGAACAGTAGTGCAACAAGTGATTTAAATTGGGTTTTACAAACTGTATATTGGACCCTACTGGATGAATATAACTTATTTTTGAAATTATGCCAATTTAAACCAAGAAAATATATCAAAGGCTGCTTGTAAATCATTACCATGAATAGCAATACATTTATATGCAACTGCTAACATTCAAGAATAAAATTTAGTCTGAAGTCATACAGTTTTACCTATATTGCGCTTGATTTCCAGTGTCGGTAGATCTTGAGATTTCTTGCATTTAATCTCGATCTCCACTTTGATGTTTATATCAAATGTTATGGAGTCTTTACATTGTTGTTGGGAAGGTTTAGCTGAATTTTTGCACATTTTGCAATCCATGTTCTTAGAGTTGATGATCCTGATGGTGGTTTCCTTAGCAGGTTTAAAAGTCAAACCCTTGCATTCTGCAAAACAGAAAGTGGTTGTCTATTTATTAACGAGGATAGGAAAGATGACTCCCTTCAATGAGGACATTGTATATTTGTCTCTATGCACATTTCAGCTATGACGTTTGGCTTTACAGTAGAAAGTAACAGCACTATCTACTGGTCTCACAATGGCATTAGGCTAATTTATAAAAAACACACACACAAAAAAAAAAACCAGTTAGTTGAGATCCCAGTAAAAATCCCTAACTTTTATTAAAAGAATTATTACTTCTACTTATTACTAATCCAATGTATCTTTCAGAAAGATTTAAATGGGGCAGACAATAATTGTTTAGGGAAGACTGCTAGTAGTGTACTCCTCAAATCTGGCCTCTATGGATGAGGGACCAGATGAAAACCGTTGTTTAAAGAAAGCCACAGGAAGCCTTAATTCGAGTTTACCACAAATCAAGAGGGAGAAACAACAAATACCCTGAAGAAGATGTTTTACAGATTTCAAACTGAAACTGGGGCTTTAATAAAAATCTCTACACATGTGACATTAAACCAACACTTAGTATCATACTGTAAACCTTATTGCTTAATTCCTGAGAATGTGTATAAAGACAAACAAAAAAGTAAAATAAAAAGGAATTTCTTTTTACCAAAATAAATGAATAACCAGCAGTACATCAAGATCCAAAAGGTGATAACTTCTGCTATAGTGTATGAATAAAATTTTCTATTTACAACTGATACAAGTAGAACCAAAACATGGACAGTAACACATTCCAAGAGCTGGTATGAAAAAAAGAAAAACATACTGGAATGGTTAGAAAAATAAAACCAAGCGACTCTGCTTTACGTGTCTTTCCTGTTCCTCGGATGTAGACAAAAATTTGTTTGTAAAACAACGTGAGCAGATTTCATTCTTTAATAGAAATCAGGACATTTCCTAAACGCTGGGATTGGCCAAAATCAAATGCACCCCACACTTCTCAGATAGTTGGTTTTAAGTTGTGTTGATTAATCCTGTATGACATGTGCTTTTTCTTTGACTTCACAATTATCTCCTGATGATTTGTAAATACTTATAAAAATGTTTGCATAAAGACGAAACAAAAAACATGTCTGAATCTTTATAAATGTAGTTGAAATAACAATATTTCATACTTTAAAAGGCACACAAAAGATAAACCCACAATCCAATTTGAATAAAACAGGTCAAGTCTCAAATAACATTGTTTTGTTTGTTTTGACATATTCTAAAATGTACCCCTAACTATTAAGTTTAAACTGGATTAACAATACATGTCTCATCAATTTCTGATTTACATTTAAAATATTTTTACACACTTACCTGAAATTATGGAGATGAACGCAATAAGAAGTAAAATCTGCAGAAATACTCTTTCTGTTCTATTAAAGTACATGTTTTGTCTTTGTGAAGATGATCGTAGGAGTAAACAAAAGTTGCGTGCTCTTTCTTCAATTCTTGTTATCCACTGATGCGAACATTGCCACACATTTTAAGTTTTCTCCCTCCCACGCTTCCCTTTTCAGGTGCGCCAGCTGTGGTTGATTTTTAGATGCCCTGACTTGTTTTTTTTCCATCCTAACGTGATCTGTTGCATGAACAGGAGTGACTGGATTACCTGAATTCAGCCAGATTGAAGGCGTGGCCAAGGCAGTTGGTGTTAATTTTTTTTTTTATAGATTACAGTAAAGCACAACACATTGCTTCTAGATAAATGCAAAGTCATGGTGTTGTGCATTTATTAATATTAAAAAGTCTGCTGGCTATTTTAAAAGGACTTTCATGTATTTAAATTCCCAAAACTTATATAATTTAGTTATTTAATCATAAACGGTTAATAGATTATATTAAAAAACACAAAACTGTTTTATATCATATAATAGCGGAATGAATCATAAAGAACCTTTGCCAACTTTGACACAAAGACAAAAAAGCATCTTTAAATACCAACTAAATTGACCAAGATTAAATAAAATCCTGGACTTGTTAGTTTGTGTGGAGGTTTTTTTTTTTTGAGGACCCAAATGAAGAGATGGGTTTTACTGATTTAAATAAGAATCCCACGGGCAACTGAAGCTAAGTTAAAAAAAAACAAAATACTGAAAACCAAAAAATATCAGAGACGAAAAAGCAACAAAACAACAAGAAACAAGCAATGAGGAACTGTAGAAGTGGTGTATATATGGAGAACGGAACAAATGATGGGTTAATGAACTGATATAGAGCAGATGTGGACAGAAGTAACTAGAAGGGAGCCAAAGGGAAAGAAAACAAGCACAAGGGGGCAACAGAGAGTAACTCGAGAAAGAAAACAACTGCATAGACACAAAATTACAAAGAAACTAAAAATGAGCCTAAACAGAGGGCAGAAAACTGACAATTGCTGTTAGTTTCTGGACTGTTCTAGGCCAAGTCTATGGAGAGATATTTGTGCCATCGGTTTGAGCGCGCAGGAACCAATCCGAGCGCGCAGTGAGACAACACGCGCGCGCGCAAAACCGGTCTGGCGCGCGCTCAACTCTGAAAAACCCTCTCAACACACTGTTCTCGCGCTCAGTTTCATCTCTGCGCGTGCCCGAATCCGTCTCTGCTCGCGCTTGCTCTCCTGCTCTCTCTCCGCGCTCAACACCAGCTGTGCGCTCGGCTGTTTCTCCGCTCGCTCGACTCTCTGCACTCGCAACTTCAGCAATGTATGTAAATGAACCATACCATCAGCCAATCACACTCAGCTTCTTTTCATCCAATGAAAGCATTCCTTCCTTCTTCTTCTTTTCTATCATGGCGGTTCGCAAGCAACTTCAAGGTGCATACCGCCACCTACTGTTCATGAGTGTGTAGCAACATTGTTTTACATCTATTAAATTCTATTTTTTAATTTTGCATTCTGAAGATAACTAAATAATGCTTTCCTTAATCTCTAAACATCCTTTATATTTCCTTTATTTCCCAATAATCCTTTAAGACTCCATTCTTGGCCTGTCATTTCAACTACTCTTCTCAGTTTTTCCCTTTCAGGTTCATATGTTTTACAGTTCATTAATATGTAAGCATTCGTTCCAAATACTACATCCGGTTAGATGAAAAAAAAATAAATAAATAAATAAAAACACAATCAGGAAAATCAAACTACTCTTACAGTTATTTTGTCAACATTCCTAAGATAGTACTATAAAATATCTTGAATTATCTCAAATAAACTTCAGTAAAACAGTTATTAGATCATTGCCTCATCCATCTCTTTTACCTGCTATTGACATAGATTTAAATTTGCTGTTTTAAAAGAAAAATAAGGAGGATATTTCAGGTTCAAGTATGGTTCAACAGTATATAGATAATGTTTTGGATCATATTGGCCTTACTCTTAGCTTTTGTGGCGGGTGTTTCTTCTTTTTGTTGTTTTTTATGGAGGTTGGCAAACAACAATTACCGCCACCAACTGAAAAATCCTGTTTATCAAATTATTCTTTTTAATATATATAATAAAGAATAACCCTCTTATTTAGAGTCCATCTGTAAAAGGTCTTCCAAATAATAATTGTTAAATTTCAGATCAGGTCTGCTGTCTGAATAATTGCGTTTAAATTAATATAACAGTCGCTGATCTAAAATCAGAGCAAACTAAACTTCTTAATGGAACGATTTCTTCAATCCATTGTAAGGCCAATATGATCCAAAACATTTCTCCTTTGTAGGCTGAATTCCATCACTGATTCTTTTACCCGATTTAAAAATAAATTATGAAACTAAAACAAAACACCATTCCTAATATTGGAATATTTTGAAGCATCCATAAAAAATTTAACATATCCATAATATTTTTTATCTATATATTGTTGAACCATACTGGAACCTGAAATATCCTCCTTATTTTTCTTTTAAAACATCAAATTTAAATCCATGTCAATAGCAGGTAAAAGAGATGGATGAGGCAATGATCTAATAACTGTTTTACTGAAGTTTATTTGAGATAATTCAAGATATTTTATAGTACTATCTTAGGAATGTTGACAAAATAACTGTAAGAGTTGTTTGATTTTCCTGATTGTGTTTTTATTTATTTATGTATTTTTTTTCATCTAACCGGATGTAGTATTTGGAACGAATGCTTACATATTAATGAACTGTAAAACATATGAACCTGAAAGGGAAAAATTGAGAAGAGTAGTTGAAATGACAGGCCAAGAATGGAGTCTTAAAGGATTATTGGGAAATAAAGGAAATATAAAGGATGTTTATAGATTAAGGAAAGCATTATTTAGTTATCTTCAGAATGCAAAATAAAAAAATAGAATTTAATAGCTGTAAAACAATGTTGCTACACACTCATGAACAGTAGGTGGCGGTATGCACCTTAAAGTTGCTTGCGATCCGCCATGATAGAAAAGAAGAAGAAGGAAGGAATGCTTTCATTGGATGAAAAGAAGCTGGGTGTGATTGGCTGATGGTATGGTTCATTTACATACATTGCTGAAGTTGCGAGCGCAGAGAGTCGAGCGAGCGGAGAAACAGCTGAGCGCACAGCTGGTGTTGAGCGCGGAGAGAGAGCAGGTCGAGCGAGCGCGAGCAGAGACGGATTCGAGCACGCGCAGAGATGAAACTGAGCGCGAGAACAGTGTGTTGAGAGGGTTTTTCAGAGTTGAGCGCGCGCCAGACCGGTTTTGCGCGCGCGCGTGTTGTCTCACTGCGCGCTCGGATTGGTTCCTGCGCGCTCAAACCGATGGCACAAATATCTCTCCATACAAGTCAAGCCTCACAATTACTTGGATTAAATATGTTTGAAAATGTTGTAAAACTCAAAAGCTTTAATTTACTTCAAAGTTCTACAAGACAACTTTAATTTCTAGATAAATTTGGCATTTCCATTTCACCAGTATTCTAAACTAATTTTATTTTCTCCTATATGGTATACATTCTGATCACTGCTGCACATTATAATGGTAATGTTCATTTCACTGTTGTAAGCTATATGCAACGGAACTACATTTCGTACACACTCTGTGTATACAAAATGACAATAAAGTTTGTCTAAGTCTATTAAAGAACAAAGTATTTGGCACTTATAAAATAATTGTAAAAGTAGCTCTTAGGCACATCCTTCTAGGAAAACCTTAGAAAGTTTCCAAGATTGCTCTGGGAATTTGACCTTGGTAAGATACAAGCTAATTGCAAAGAACTTCAAGCCTCAAGAGAGCTCTTACATGCATTTTTTATGAGCCAAACCAGGCCCGACAACCATGCTTGCAAAAATTCAAACCGAAAGGCAATTTGAAATACCTAGTTAATCCAATGTGCCTGTTTCTGGACCTGGAGAGAGACAACCAACCAATGCATCAGGAAGACATTATGAAGGAAGGCCTCCTGTCAAAATTTTAACCCAGGAACATCTTGCTGCAAGACACAAAAGCCTTGCTTCAAGACTTTTGTGCTGACAATTGCACTGCCATGCCTTTAGTTAATCTTTTGATCCAAATTTACACAGTTGGTTTCCAGTTTTGGACACAAGAGTACAGATGGTGTGATAGTGGTGCAGGAGTTCTTATGTATGGAGGCTTTGGTCCTCGACACAGCTGTCACAGGTTTGGATCCTGGCCCATCTGACCTTTGTCGCTTGTCTTCCTCTCTCTCCAAACCTGTTTCCTGTCCCCCTGCTATCGAAAATAAAGCCAATGCTAGTACCTAAAAGTAATCTTGAAATAGAACTAGAGTATAGATCGAAATCCTGAGGTAGTTGACTTTACTTTTGTTAATATTAAATACAGCATTTAAACTCTAAAGAATCCAACAATATTATTATTCCAGATGTTACTTGGTTAGTAATCCCAGTTTTTTTTTAATAATTATTTTGAAATAACTTTCCTGAAGTCTGGAAGTTATGTAAATGTAAATCCCTTCACTGTCCCACAATGGGGAAATTCGTTCTCTGCATTTTGACCCATCCTCTAACGGAGCAGTGGGCTGCCATTGTGTGGCGCCTGGGGAGCAGTGTGGGGTTAAGCAGGGGCGCCTCTAGAAATATGTCATAGGGGTGGCCAGATGGGGCCTCTTAAATTCTTGGGGTGGCACAAAGAAACATAAATTCTGGATTTTATTCTACTGCTGTCACAGCAGAGGAATCCTCACTTTTTGTGTTCACTCAATGTCTGTGATGCCTCATCAAGTTAAGGATATTATCATAGCTTTTATTAGAAATCGCATCTCAAATATTTCCTGAATTCTATTCATATATTATAAAATGACACTCACCTTTACTGAAATTTCCATACAAATAAAGTACAATAGGCTAACAAAGAAATAAACGAGTAAAAATATAGAAAGGTCCAATTCAGCGGAATTCATTAATTTCATTATTTTGCCCACATGGTAATAACTGGAACACTTGCTTTCACTGAGTTCTGCCCTTCTTCTGTCATCAAAGGTGCTGACTGTCCCTGGTCTGCTGCTGTTTGATGCTTTTCCTCATCACTGTTCTTTACCAATGCTGGCTCTGTGTCATCATCATGCTGGTTGATCTGTTTCTCCCCTCTTACTTAACTACAAGAAATAGTTACCTGGTCAAAACATCAACTCAAGTTAAAATACTGAAGTACTTTTGAAAATACTAAGTATTCAAAAGTACATGCATTCAAAAGTATTTAAGTATTCAAAAATGCTAATAAAATATTGTAATATCAGTCCATTCTGTCTAATTCTGAAAGTAATTTCAAAGAACCTTGTACCTTTTAGAAGCCACCTGATGTATTGACAGCTAGAACCACTATGCTGCCATTTCTAAACCACCTGTGAAGAACTTCAGCATATAAACGCAACAAAAAATAAGGACAGCTATTTTGATTATTATTTCTTATTTAGAAACAAACCAAAAAGAAAACAGGATTGTCTTGATTCTCCTCACAAATTCACTATGGAATAGATGGTTATGGTTGAATCTGTTAACACAAAGAAAGTTTAACTCTGATTTGAGAACTCAACTTGGCCACATGGCAACAGCTGACGCCTTAATAAAACTTCTAAACTAGAAATAATGCCCTGAGTTTGTCACATTTGTGGAACGTCATCCAAATCTCTAAAACAGTGGTTTCCAGATTAAGTCCTAATTTTTGCTATCCTGTATGTTGAAGATGTATTTCAAGAAAGAAAAAGTGAAACAGTGGATTGCAAAGCTAAGCTGAGCCAAAAGGAAAGAAGAACAAGCAGCTTCTTGGAAATGGAGTAGAATAGAAAGTACAATATTTGACTTTAAAATGTAGTGGAGTGAAAAGTTATAATTACCCCCTAAAAATTATTCAAGTAAAGAAAAGAGACAAAAAAAGTAGCTAAGTACAATAATGAAGTAAAATTACTTTGTAACTTTCCACTACTGCCTGAACTACATGTTACAGTCTCGTGCCACTTTTACAGAAAAGAAAAACAGAAGAGAAACTCTCTTCTTTCCAAGAAATGGTGTCCTTTTGTTATGTAGGTTTGAAACATTTAGCCTGCCTTGAGGGAGAGCAGTATGATTAGGCAGATAACATCTAACCTGCCTCAACATGTCACATTGATTATGAGAAATCTGTGGAAGGAACGGTTGCCACACATTTGGGGGCAAGTATAAAAACAGGGAGATATGTGATATTTTTAGAAGCAATTTGGTCATGAAAATAAGTTTTTGCCTCAAAGTGCTTAACTACACCTTGATGTTTACTATTATTATAATGAAATTCAGTAATACACACGGAAAAGGAATCCATCTGTTGGATCTATTTGATTATAGATGTTTAGTTACTTTAACACTGTCGTACCACACTGACATGAAATAATGGTGTTAAAGCAAATAGATTAAACAAATTAAACAAAAAAAGCAAAATAAACTTCTATACCTTTTTTAATATTTTTAGAAACAGATTAATCACAAATATGAAACTACTAACAACATTTTAACTGATCATCAGATTCGATGCAATGGAAATTTTTTAAGACGTCTTCCTGTAAGAAAAAAATAGCATGGCAATGTGCCAACTGGGATCTGCAAACGGAAACCTAAGGGACAAAAAAAATTCCTAAAATTGAAATGAGTCAAAAGGAAAATGAAACAGAAACACCTTATATCTGTAATTATAAAAAAAAAAAAAAAAAAAAACTTGAACAGGCCAGTTTGGAAGACAGGAAAAAGAGCAAGGGATAACTGGGGTAGGCTAAAGGCTTTAAGTATTTATTTCTTTTAAAATATTGAAACATTAATACAAATAAACACATATACCAGATCTTTAGAAATTAAACAGTATATTAATAACTGCTCTCTAAAAACAACATCTATCTGTCATGGTTTTAATAAATAAGAAAAGACAACTATTAAAAGTAGATGTTACAGAGCATGATTATAGGTTAAATAGCCCACAGTGACAGCACACTTTAAAGTCCAGTTTCTGTGCCAAAGTCCTAAACTTTGTATAATAAGGCAGAAAACAGTCTAGAAAAGATTAAAAACTATACAAACACTGTTTGAAGAGAAAAAGTTGTCCAACTTCTACATGACATAAACTAGGAAGGCCTACAGGGTGTACAAAACACATTAGTGTTGGTCCCAATATGGATTATTGTTGGCTATTATAATTAGACTTTACCTTGATTTGTCCTAAAGAGGAGGAGGAGGAGGTCTAAAGGGAAAAGATCAACCCAAACGCTGAAGGGTCTTCACATTCATTCACTGATGCGTGCAGCTGAATGGCTACAATTATAGTATAGGCAGCACAGGCTATGTTCAGATATTAAAGTGTTTATTTTTGTGACACTGTCAGCACTTGACTGGGCTATCCTGCTGCATTTCTGGACTACCTTTGATCTGCCCTTAAAAATATAAACGCATGGGATGGGGGAAACTTGAACTGGATTGTTTTCCATACAGTTTATTCAAATTCAAATACATTAAATTCTTATTAGATGGTGTCTAGTTTGATTATCACCTGGTTTCAGCTGTCTTTATTTGGTATCACTTTCAAACTGGTCCAATATTTGCTGATAAAAAAACGACAATAACGAAAACCAAAAAGGAAGCCTGTAAAGGGATTTTTTAATTTCATTTTTCCTTCATAGTTTTTAAAAAATGAAGAAAAAGATGCAACCGAATAAGAAATTGTATTTTATAAAATCCAACGTTTAGTGTGGATGGATTTCCCCCCCCAGATTTGATCTTTTGTGCTGTAGTTTTCATGATGCACTCCATGTGAAGTTAATTAATGAATAATCCATGAACTAGCCCACTGTTAGACTATATCTGTTTTATTTATTTTTACTGAACCTATTTTAAGGTGTTCTAAGGCCAACAAACCCCTTAAAATAGCTTATTATAAGGCTTTCACAAAAGTTTATTTTAAGGGAATATTGGTAAATTTTATATTTCTTGGGATTAAAGGTAGTCGTTAAATGCTGCAGAATAGTCCTTTAGTGTCGTGTTTTTTTGTTTTATTTTGATCAGTTATCTGGGTCTCCTCTGCTCCATCCCGTTAGGCAGAAATCCTGCAATGATGGGCACCGGCCATATGAGAGCAGCAACACTCCACACGATGATGACCAGAGTCATGAAACAAGCCACTAATGTGGACTCGATGGGCTTCCTGTTCAGCCTCCAACTTTTGTCCCCCTTCAGCTCGTCCAGGCTAAAATCCACGCAGCAGAAAGACACCTGATCCCCGCTCTGCTGTCCCCTCGACCTGCCCTGGCCGAAGCGGCGGTACCGGGACATCCCGCAACCCACGCACAGCCTCATCTCCTGCTGACCCCCGGTGACCCCGAGGTGCTCGATCACCACGGGGGAGATGGCCCGGTTAAAGGAGGCGGAGAAGAACGCCCTGCCGTGGTTGTTGGTGGTGTAGACCAGCACGTCGCACTGGAAGCCGAAGCTGCTGTCCCAGCGGGCCACCAGCGAGGTGGGCAGCAGCCGGTGGACCGTCACATTACACTGGGAGGGAAGCAGGCTTTGCAGCGGGGACACTTCAGGCGAGGCGTCGCTGTCTTCCACGGACCTTTTGGAGAAGCGCACGTCCACCTCCAGGTTGGCCAGGAACCTGTTGGAGGAGTTGATGGGCGGTAGGAGGAGGTCCTCGTCGCTCCATCCCCGGCATGTCGAGAGAAGCGCGGTCAGAGCCAGCAGGAGGGTCGGGGACTTGTTCAACATGGCATAAGGCGCGTCTCTCCGGCTCGCATTGTGCTTAAAGAAACCTCAAACGGCTGGATGGATGGGCAGTACGCAGAAACGCCAGGCGCTGCTGGTTTTCTTTTGCTCCCAGTGGAGAAATTCATTCACCATGAATGCGCACAGCTCCAGCCATGCGTGCACACACCCTTCCTCCCTGCGCAGATCTCGCTCTCCAAACTCAGCGGCTCGGTGCGCTCTGAGCTTGGCTCTGTCACCTCAGGTGTGAGGAGCAAAAACACAGGAGAGTGATGAGGGGAGAGCTCTCAGTGCGCAGGGACGGCAGAGGCAGCGCAACGCACGCTTAATGATGCTGACCTGCTTTCACAAACCGCCTGCCTGAAGAACACCCTAATTCCTACTAGAAAAAAGCTATTTAACTCAATCTAATGTTAAAGGGAATGTTTCTGCACATTGCTCAGTTTATCAGCCTAAGCAGGCTTTTCTATGCTTGGGTAAATAATCCCCATTGGGTATTTGACATCCCCTTTAAGTCTGCCCTATATATTCATAATTTCATATGAAAACATTACTGCCCCTTAAACTTGTCCCACATTTTCTCAACTTACAATCACAAACATACTATAAACATCTTAAATTTGTTCCATTAGACTAACAAAGAATCACATAGTTGTCAAGTAGAGCAAAAATATTACTTTTTATTTTGTATCTTGCAAATAAAATTCACTAAAGTGTGTCAGGCACCTGTATATACACTGGGGAAAAAATAGAAATCTAGAGATGTCATTTTTTCTTTAAATAAGTGTATTTGTTCTTGGATTGAGGTGATAAAAGAAACATTTTGCCAATGGAAAAAGAGAATTTACACTTCTTTTAAGTGTATATTATCTTATTAGTTAAAAATACTCATTCTATTGGCAAACTATCTGATTATCGGTTATATAAAGAGGTAGACTTTCACTAAATTGTACAAGCTTTTACTTAAAATGTGTTATCGTAGATCATTTCTTCAAATTTGGAGTCCTGCTTGAAGGGAATTTCTGTCCGCCTCTTGAACTGCTTTAAAGTAAGATATTAGTTCATTAATATAAGTGGACATCCATGTTTTAGATATTCTTTTTTATACTTAAGATTATCAAGCACCCTCTTCCTGACCTGTCCTCCATTATTTGTGGTGATCAAGTTGAAGCTGATGGAAATGACAGATTTCCAGGTGACTTTTACGATAAGGTCATCCCAGTGATTGTGCCTGGTGTTTCACTTGAGTAATTGCTCCAAAGCATAAGAACATAATCCATGTGCCATGCAGAGAAGATTAACCTCTGAACCTTTATTTATCCAGAATGGATTCATCGAGCTGAGCTTCAGCTTTAGCCATCGCGGACAGGACTTTACTAAAACCTCAGTTTCTGAAACTAATATAAAACTGCAGTCAGTTCAGCATTATATCAGCTGGAGCCCTGATTAAATATCGTTATGCAGGCGCATACAAAGACAAGTTTTCCAATGGAGAACTGTGGTCAGATTTAGCTAACTAAATCTGACAACAGTTCTCCCTTGAAAAGTTTTATGTACACTAAAGGACAAAATGGATTAGAACAGTTTAAACTTTTCATCAGTCTGTAAATCTCTACATACACTGAACATAACAGGATAAATCTTTTTCGCAATAACTGTTGTCAGTATAAAACCCTTTTTCTCCCCTTACAAATTTAAGCACTTTCTTTTATAGTATCTTCCTACTAGCCAGCTGTGCTACCATATAACATGTGCAGCATACAACATTTTTAATGTCAGCATTTGTGCCAGTAAAAAGCTCCCCTTTCTTCCTACTAAAGTGCTGCAGTAGTGGGTTTGGGATCTTCAGTCGAAGTTCATAAAAGTGCTACGGCTTAAAATAATTTTTTTCAGCATATGTGCAGTAGAAAATGTTTCTATAGATACATGAAGATAAATATGAACCTGCGACTTGTTCCAGCTGTTATCCATCTTTATTCCATCTCCGTTCCACCACCAGATTCAGGCCTGAGGAGATTCATCCCTGTTTTCATTCATTCAGCTCCCACATATTATCAAGGTAAATTTCAGAGCTAATGTTTCTCGCCGAGGTCTGAGCACCCAAGATTTAAAATAACATATCAGTAAAACGCTTCTACTTGCCTTCTTTCTTTTTGTGAGATTTTCAGGTAAAGATGACAGCTTCATCTGGTTCTTTAACCCTCTGAGACGTATGCTTCAACTGCTGTTGTCCTATTTTGCTACAGTTATCGTAAAGATGTTAATAAATGCATTCTGAGGTTTTCACTTTAAAAATATTTTCAGGGTGTTTTTTTCACAGTTAATTTAAAGAAAAACTTTCGTCAGGTCTGTGATAGTAGTACCACTGGAAAAATATTATTTTATCTCTTACCTCTGAAGGTTTCATGTAAATCTAATGATTGTGGAGCTATTTTTGATTTATTTTGGATTTATTTCAGTTGTGAAATTGCTTCTGAAACTCTGCTTCACAGGTCAACACTTCACTCTTTAGTAATTGTCAAAAAAACACAACTAATGGTCAGCTGTAAAAAAAGCAAAAGGTTTTTCCTTTCTCTGTTGTTTCCAGTACCTTTAAAAAAAGAAAAAAAAGCTCCACATGTTTCTTTTTGGTGGGAAGGAAAATAAAAATTGTTTTTCCTAGCATGCGGCCCAAGAAACCAGTTGGTAAAGGGAGCATCTTATCGTTGTTATGGAAACTTGGTGATCCCAAAATGCCACTCTGTGTGCAAATCTCTTTTTACCTCTTTTTTTGTTGGTGAGATAAACATTGATCCTCATCCAGTGTATTTTCTCTCATTTCCAACTGTCTTAATTGCTTTCAGTATAGATTTGTGACTCACTTGAAAAGTGACGCCTTCTTGTCTCTCCTATTTTAAGAGGAGCTAAGATAAATTGTCCAACAGGTTATGTTGTATTTAAACGGAGAAGACAAATGGAAATTACAAGTTTGAAAACTCTCTATTCAGCTTACCAAATTTAAGTATAAATAAAAAAAAATTACCAAGTGCTTTTTGTAACTAAACAGTTAAGGAAAGAATACATGATTTTTTTTTTTTTACATTATAAAATTATGCTACCATAACAAAAATAGATTTTAGTTTTAGGGATTTTATTTATGTCTATCAGATGTGCTTGTGTATATTTTCAGATGGCACTGAAAGGTAGGTGACCTGAAAAGACACTTTCACATGTGTGACAAATATCAACGCCATATCTGTTTGCGGTTGTTTTTTAAAGATAGATTTAATAATTTTAGTTTTTCGTTTTTTATGTCTTACCTGCCACTTTCAAAAAACAAAGCCATCAGTTCATAATCTCCTGTGTGTTCAGCTGCTCTCCGCTCTATAGGGTTTGTTTATGCTGGTGCTTGTCTTCATGTAGCATAATGTGCACTGAGGGGAGGCCAGACACATCAATAAACATGTGGCTTTGCAGCAGCAGCTTTTTTTTATCACCTGGTTGCTCCAGCATTAGATAAATCATTTAGATCTGTGGTTGCACACCTGGTCAGGTTTAGACAGTGAAGATTTTAAAATAGGTTCTACTTTATTGCTCAGAAAATGTTGATTGTTGTACAGTTTGTATATTTATTTTAATTACTCCAAAAACAAAAGGGTTAAAATCTAATCACATGCTCTCCTACCCTTTAAACAATCATTTTTTTTTGTTTTAGCCTTATTCTATTGCAGAAGCTATGTTTACTGTTTTAGTCTTTCCATGTTTTTGTAGCTTTTATTCTGAAAAAAAAACAAAAACATATTTTTTCCCAGTATTCTCTTTCTAGAAACTCATATATAATGCATCTGAAACTATTATGAGATATTGACAGAAATGGGTCATTGACCAGGAGCCAAATCATGATGAATTATGCTGTTTCATCTTTTTGCAAACTAGGGGAATTAAAATGCTACTTAGACGAACCGCTCTCTTTTGTGCTGTTTAAATTGTGTAATTTGCTACAGAGTCCTGCCTCTTTGTATTTGATGTGAGAGCATACTCAGGGTAAAGATGCTGTGCCCTCAATTTGCACCTCAAACACCTTGTCCCGATTTAATTATGACAGCATATTCAACCTCCTTTAGCTTTGGAACAATTACCCAGTTGTTTGGCTCTCTTTCTGTAAATTCAGATGTCTGTATGTCTCTCTGAAACACTCCCACACATCCCCTCAAATGTGGAGCCCACTACATCAGATATGCCCCAGACAATGTAGTGGTGAACACAGGAGGGAGATGTAAATGACTTCCTTGCTCATTAATTATGCTATAAAAATGTAAATTGCTTTGGTGACAAAAATGCAAATGGAGTAAGATAAAAGTCTCCCCTGCTGAAGGAAAGTGTATGAAAGATTCATTTTCAAGCATTGCGTCTCTATTCAGGACAGAAAGGTCTCCAGGAGCTCCTACTTGGTCTTCATCAGATTCACATTTCGTCAGGCGCTGTTGCTGTGACCCATCGACTCAAACACAGAACTGACTTAATTAGGTTTTGTGGTTTGGCTTCATGCATTTTAAGAAGTGTTAAATCAGCTGTTTTACAGCTTGATCTGGTGGATCTGAAGGCTGCAGACATACTGCCACACTCCAAGGCAAAGAAAATATATCACCAACACAAGTAAGAAAGTAAAGTTTATTTATAAACTTCTATTCACAGGTAAAAATCACCAAATGCTTCAAAAAAAAAGCAGGCAAGCCTCAGCCCCAGCATTGTTCCAATGGCCAAGAACACAAGCCCACAAAGAAAATAACTGTTTAAACTAGCTTTACCTCTCCCTGGGCCTACCCCTCCCCTTATCATGGTGGAGGGGTTTGAGTGTCCCAATGACCTTAGGAGCTATGCTGTCTGGGGATTTTATGCCCCCTAGCAGGGTCACCCAAGGCAGACAGGTCCTAGGTGGGGGGCCAGACAAAGAGGAGCCCAAAAATCCCTATGATGAATAATACAAATGGACATAGTGTTCCCTCGCCCGGACGCGGATCACAGAAGCACCACTCTGGAGCCAGGCCTGGAACTGGGGCACGCTGGCGAGCGCCTGGTGGCCGGGCATTTATCCATGGAGCCCAGCCTGGCACAGTCCGAAGAGGAAGCATGGGTCCCCCCTCCAATGGGCTCACCACCTGTAGTAGGGGCAAAAGGGGTCGGGTGCATTGTTTCATGGGTGGCAGTCGAGGGCGGGGACTCTGGCGTTCTGACCCTCGGCTGAAGAAGTTGGCTCTTGGGACATGGAATGTCACCTCTCTGGTGGGGCAGGAGCCTGAATTAGTGCGCGAGGTTGAAAGGTTCCAACTAGAGAT